TTTTTTTTTTTTTTGAAAGAATGGAAAATAAAAAGGGGGTCAAATTATAAATAAATAAAAATGAATGACAGAAGTTTGGATAATACTTGTAAATCCCAAGTGTTATGAAAATAAAAATTTAAGTTTGTCAGAATATATTTATTATAAATATAAACAGGCGACAAACACCTTAAAAGATAACCATTTGACTATTCTTTATTCCAAGATTGTAATTAATTCCAACATCTTGTTAAGAATATTAACGTAGGATAAGTCTATAAAACCCTTATAAAATATCATTTAGTCCGAAATGTTCCATGAATTGGTTGGTCGAAGACACGGCATGTGATGACACAAGCCTTTGAATTGACAAAAATGTGGTGAGACTTGAGAGAAAGCTTAAGGGGGCATTTTGGTCAAGTGTACGTGTCAGCTGACTTTTCCGTCAAGATCCAATTTAGCGGGAAGAACAGGTCAATTTCAAGGCACTTTTAAACAAATACCCTCATACTAGCCACGATTTCCCAAGATGCCATTATAAGCTGCCATTATATAAAGCCTCCATTAATGCATTGAACCCCACATCTATTCCAAGTAATTTTTAACTTGATGCAGATTGGCTCAATACTATCGGCACATAATCTTCACAGTTTGCCGGCCGCCGCCGGAAGTTCGAGCTTCAGGTGCGGCGGTTTGCGGTCGAAATCATTTATGAGACTTCCAGTTCAATCACAAAATGTGAAGTCATTACTCCAATCCAAGCATTCTGATCCGGAACCGGTTCAAGAAGGATCCAACAACAGGTCATTGGGAGACAAAGCAAAAGGTCTCTTGGACCAGCTGAAATTGAGTAGTGTGTGGCCGGAAATGAAGGCTGCAGAGGAAATGTCACCGCGGCATTTGAATAGGCTACGAAGGCTTTTATCCAAATCACCGGAATATTCTCCTAGGAATAATCTAGGCAGCCGTTGGCGAGAGTACCACGGTAAGGACGACTGGTCTGGCCTCCTTGATCCACTCGACGAGAATCTCCGACGAGAGTTGGTCCGTTATGGCGAGTTCATCCAGGCGGCTTACCATTGTTTTTACTCAAATCCTGTCACCTTGACAGATGAAGTTACATGTGGAAGACACGTGGCACTGCCTGATAGGTCATATAGAGCGACAAAGAGCCTCTATGCCACTTCAACAGTCGGGTTTCCAAAGTGGGTGGATGATGTGGCACCCGATCTTGGGTGGATGACCCAACGATCGAGTTGGATTGGGTACGTAGCAGTGTGTGAAGACAAGAAAGAGATTCAAAGAATGGGGCGAAGAGATATCATAATAGCACTACGTGGCACTGCTACGTGTCTTGAATGGGCAGAAAATTGTAAAAGTTTATTAGTTCCAATTGAGAAAGAAAGTAATCCGGCATGTGTACAGCCTAAAGTGGAATGCGGGTTCTTGGACCTATTCAAAACCCCTGGAGCAAACGTGCCAAGCCTAGCTGAATCAGTGGTCGAGGAAGTTCAAAGATTAACTGAAAAGTACAAAGGCGAGACTCTAAGCATAACCATAACAGGGCACAGCCTTGGCGCCGCCTTAGCATTGCTCGTTGGGGATGAACTGAGTAGGTGCACACAGGCTATGCCCCCCATCGCTATTTTCTCTTTTGGAGGTCCTCGAGTTGGCAACCGGGGTTTTGCAAATACTATTCGTTCAAGACACGTGAAGGTATTGCGAGTAGTGAATTCTCAAGACGTGATCACTAGAGTTCCAGGTATGTTCGTGAGCGAAGAGCTTGACAAGAAGGTTGAGGACACTAGAGCTGCAAAATTTCTTAACGTGCTAGATAATAGCATGCCATGGGCATATGTACATGTTGGGAGCGAACTAAGAGTTGATACTAGAATGTCTCCATACTTAAAGTCAAATGCCGATGTAGCATGTTGTCATGATTTAGAGGCGTACCTACACTTAGTAGATGGGTTTTTAGCATCTAATTGTCCATTTAGAGCAAATGCGAAGAGAAGTTTATTAAGGTTGGTCAATGAACAAAGATCAAACGTTAAAAGATTGTACACAAGTAAGGCAAAGACCTCAAGCTTGAGTCTTGAAAGCGATGCTATGTCCTTGTTTAGTTTGTCTAGTCCGTCTTGACAGAATTATATATACATCCTGTCTTCGATAAATTTGAAAAGAAATGGCAATGTAATTATCCAATAATATTTTATTACCAAAGGCATTGTAAATTTGAAATAAAAAGCATTCTTTATATTTCAACTCTTCTCCTTCTATCCTGATTTCTTAATGTGCCATTCTTGGTGGAGTTCAGATTTGACGCTGAATAAATTTAGTGGGTTTTTGGCCCCCCTTTTTTAGGAAAAATTAGTTTTTTGAATAGTAATTGATGGGAGAATGTGTGGTGTAAAAGTAATGAAAAATTTTAGATTTGTGTGTAATATTATTTTATTTGGAGAATGTGTGGTTGAAAATGAGTACAGTAGAAAAATGAATAGGAAAAAAAAGAGAGAGAATGGGGCTCAAACATAGGCTTAGTTGGTATCACAGTGATCCAACTGAATAAAGTCGAGGCAAGAATACCAAACAACCGTACGTCGATATTGAAAATCCAAACGATGAGTTCTGAATTTTCTTTCAATCATGAGAAACGTTACAACACAAACTCCAAGTTTATTAAACTCGCAACTGTAGAGCAGGTAGTTGTATTTGCTTAACAGTGAAATGTTTTGTCGTCCCTAATCTTGTATCTTTCTACAATTTTTTTTTTTTTTTACACTAGCATTTTCTTCATGTATACTGTCCTCTCTTGACATTTACAATCTGTTGAAGTGCCCAACATGGCCAAAAACGCATAGGACATGTGAAATCAGAATTTGAAAACATTGCCGTCGATCAGTGATTTGATTTGAAATGGCCCTTGTTGAAATTTTATGAAATTTTAAACTTCAGAAAATTAGAAAACTTAATTGCTTAATTGTCAAGATCCTCCATGTCAAATCATTAAGTAATAATGTAAAACAAACCTTAATTATTTGGGAATAATTTCTTGTTACTGGATCTTAATTCCGGATCTTGAATTTGGATTATTGACTCTTTTGGTTCTTGAGTTCCCGATCTTGATTTTGTTTCTTCCTCCATAATCTTGATTGTCTTATTTTTCGATTTAATTGCTCAAATTCTTCTTCTTGATTGTGAATTTTTGGATCTTCTTCTTCAATATATTTTTTCTTATATTCATGTGTTTATGTGATGACACGAAGAATGAAAAGTTGCATATGAATTAAGGATCATAACGCTATATATAGTTTCCATATATATTTTGCCAATCGTTAAATACAACCCTAATGGATCTGATCTCTACATATATAATCTGGCACACACTTTATTTTGATGCCCTAAACCCAATAATTTAATTCTTTATTGGATCACTTTAATTGGGCTCGACTTTAAGATACCCTCATACACAATTAATTACATATGTATGTTCTCATAACAAATTAATAAACACAACACTTTTAGGTTCCAAGTCGATTCTTTTTGCTATTCTGACCAACTGAAAATAATATACTTGATTGGCATTGATAAGCGTGTTTTTCACACTTATTTAATAACTAAATATGCTTATTGTTAATAAAAAGGAGCGAATTTCTAATCACAATTATGTAATTATTACTTTTATAGGTAAAAATACCCTAAATGAAAGGGAACAACACAAAATGAGGAAATATTGACTAAAAGTGTGTAAATTTGTGAATTTGGGGATTAAAGTGAACGAAGCAGAAAGTTTAAGGATCTTGGATGCAATTTATGAAGGGCATAATTGATATGAAAGTCAAAATTTGAGGACCAAATTGTATATAATCTAAGTTGAGGGACCTGACATGCAATTAGCTGATGGACTTGACTGCAAAATAAAACAAATGTTTGGTTTTGTTGGCACGGAATGGGCGTCTAGGCACCATCTCATGGCGTCATTTTAAAAAATTTAGGATTTTTTGTCACTTTTTGTAACTTCATGGATTTGACTTCAAATTTTCTAGGTTTTAAATATTAAAACTAGTAGCTTGGGACGAATTCTCTTCTTCCTTGCTGTTTTCTTTTTTTCCCTTTCCATTTTTTTCTTCTTCTTCTTTCTTTTTTCATTTTCATTTTCTTTTCGTTTTCAATTTCTTTGTATTTTGGGGATACAAATCAAGAGCATAAGGATAATACGTTCAAAAATTTGGAGAAATATTTGGGGAAGTCAAGGCCAAGTTTAAAAAAATGATTTTATCTATAACTTTGTATTTTCTTAATTATTTTACCATATTTATAATGTATTATTATAAATATTCTTGGTGTTTGGCCCCCATTTTTTAGGAAAAATTAGTTTTTGAATAGTGATTGATGGAAGAATGTGTGGTGAAAAAGTAATGAAAATCTTTAGATTTGTGTGTAATATTATTTTATTTGGAGAATGTGTGGTTGAAAATGAGTACCGTGGAAAAATGAATAGGAAAAAATGAGAAAGAATGGGGCTCAAACATAGGCTTAGTTGGTATCACAGTGATCCAACCGAATAAAGTCGAGACAAGAATACCAAACAACCGTACGTCGATATTGAAAATCCAAACGATGAGTTTTAAATTTTCTTTCAATCATGAGAAACGTTACAACACAAACTCCAAGTTTATTAAACTCGCAACTGTAGAGCAGGTAGTTGTATTTGCTTAACAGTGAAATGTTTTGTCGTCCCTAATCTTGTATCTGTCTACAATTTTTTTTTTTTTTTTACACTAGCATTTTCTTCATGTATACTGTCCTCTCTTGACATTTACAATCTGTTGAAGTGCCCAACATGGCCAAAAACTCGTAGGACATGTGAAATCAGAATTTGAAAACATTGCCGTGGATCAGTGATTTGATTTGAAATGGCCCTTCTTGTTGAAATTTTATGAAATTTTAAACTTTATAAAACTAGAAAACTTAATTGCTTAATTGTCAAGATCCTTTATGTCAAATCATTAAGAAAATTAATAATGTGGAACAAACCTTAATTATTTGGGAATAATTTCTTGTTACTGGATCTTGATTCCGGATCTTGAATTTGGATTATTGACTCTTTTGGTTTTTGAGTTCCTAATCTTGATTTTGTTTCTTACTCCATAATCTTTGATTGTCTTGTTTTTCGATTTAATTGCTCAAATTCTTCTTCTTGATTGTGAATTTTTGGATCTTCTTCTTCAATATGCTTTCCTTTGTATTCATGTGTTGATGTGATGACACAAAAAATGAGAAGTTGCATATGAATTGAGAATCATAACGTTATATATAGTTTCCATATATATTTTACCAATCGTCAAATACAACCCTAATGAATCTGGTCTCTACACATATAATCTGGCAAACACTTTATTTAGATGCCCTAAACCCTATAATTTAATTCTTTATTGAATCACTTTAATTGGGCTTGACTTAAAGATACCCTCATTACGTACACAATTAATTACATATGTATATTCACATAACAAATTAATAAACACAACACTTCTAGGTTCCAAGTCGATTCTTTTTGCTATTCTTACCAACTGAAAATAATATACTTGATTGGCATTGATAAGCGTGTTTTTCACACTTATTTAATACATAAATATGCTTATTATTAATAAAAATGAGCGAATTTCTAATCACAATTATGTAATTATTGCTTTTATATGTAAAAATCACCCCAAATGAAAGGGAACAAGACAAAATGAGGAAATATTGACTAAAAGTGTGTAAATTTGTGAATTTGGGGATTAAAGTGAACGAAGCGGAAAGTTTAAGGATCTTGGATGCAATTTATGAAGGAAATAATTGATATGAAAGTCAAAAATTGAGGACCATATTGTATATAATCTAAGTTGAGGGACCTGACATGCAATTATCTGATGGAGTTGACTGCAAAATAAAACAAATGTTTGGTTTTGTTGGCACAGAATGGGCGTCTAGGCACCATTTCATGGCGCCATTTTAAAAAATTTGGGATTTTTTTGTCACTTTTTGTAACTTCAGGGATTTGGCTTCAAATTTTCTAGATTTTAAATATTAAAACTGGTAGCTTGGGACGAATTCTCTTCTTCCTTGTTGTTTTCTTTTTTTCCCTTTTCATTTTTTCTTCTTCTTCTTTCTTATTTCATTTTCATTTTCTTTTCGTTTTCAATTTCTTTGTATTTTGGGGATGAGAGCATAAGAAGAATACATTCAAAAATTTGGAGAAGTCAAGGTCAAGTTTCAAAAAATGATTTTATCTATAACTTTGTATTTTCTTAATTATTTTACCATATCTATAATGTATTATTATAAATATTCTCATTTTTATCATTTGTATAAAATGAGCTAGTTATTTATGTTGAGATTTACGGTAGTAACTTAATATAACTTTAATTAATTGTAATATTTGCCAATTAATGTTAAAATATTTATTTTCATGTGTATTTATTATGAATAATGTTATTCATCCTCAGTGGAGTTACAAATATAGTTTATGTGGCTATAAATGATAAGTTAAATGAAAGGTGAAATTAAATTACTTATTTAATTTCACCTATAATTTAATGTCACATTAATGCCACCTAAACTGTGTTAAATTTCACCTATAATTTAATGTCACATTAACGTCATTTAGACTGTGTTTGTAACCCAAGTGAGGATGAATAGCATTACTCATTTATTACTATGTTTAATGCCTTTCATTTATTTAACCATTAAATGATTGAGTTTAATGATTTGTACATTGTTTTAGAGAAGATTGTACATTTTAGATTAGATAGTAAATACCCTCGATTTGTGTAGAGGATAGAGATATACCGTAACCCTAGGTGACCAATTGAACTATTTTCACAAATATTTAATGCGGTTGTCTGGTTTGAATCGACTTAGAGATATAGTATATTAAATCAATCAATTAAGGTTAATTTCATTCGAGAGAGGTAATTAACTAAATTTGAAAAATCGAGTCTAATATCGTAAATGAGTAATTTGTTAATTGACTTCTGGAGAAATTAATTAGGCGACGACAAAGCAAAACCATGAATCACAACCACGTTTGTTCTCCAAAATTTTCGAGTGTTTATGTTTTCTTATTCTGTAGGGTTTTAATTAATTTTTCTTATTTTCAAAATCAAAATCTTTATTTTGTGTTCGTTTTTATTGTTCGAATTAAATTGATTAAAGTTGTGTAATCGAAAGTAAACAATCTTTGAGGGATTGACAATTCAGACTCTACTTTATTACTTGAAAGGGATCCGTGCACTTGTGGTTTGCACTTTCTTAGCGACTAGACATCAATACGAGGATGCATACACGTCCTTTTGTTGGTTCATGCAGAGCTTTCGTAGATTACGAATTGGTTCGCCACAAACTAATGATAAGAATTTTATGGTTTCTGATTACAAAGAAAGCGAAGTTAATGGAAACTTATACGTGGCTTAAATTGGCAGAATAGAAGATAAAACTAGGGATTTCCTGGAAAATCAAGTGATTTGCTAAATCAGAGAAGAATATTTGCGATTGTTAAGTGTAGCAGCTCTGTTAAAGATGAAGAGTGTTGACGTTTGAACTTGGTTTAATCAAGTTCAGCCAACTCAAATTGTATTAAAGATAAGGTTATTTAACCGAAATAGTAAAATGACATAATTACAGAAAATGTTGCCTTGAATTAGCTAAAGTACCAAAAGCGGAAAGATTGTAGATTCGTGGTCTATAAAAGGGGACCATAGGTTGCCTTTTATAGCTAAAAATAGAAGAATTGGATAACTTTGTGATGTTGTCTACAGTACTTAGACGGGCCTTCGACGTCAGCTACTATGTTTCCCTTATTTGGTGTGCCAAAAATCATTCAACTAAAGGACTTTCTATTGGAGGACGAGGTTGGCCTGACATCTCATCATGATGGTTGGGATGGGCGCTGTTATTCTCCATCATTGCAATTTTGTTGTTGGTTGACTTTGAGGTGCTTAGGGCAGCCATGCCACGTGTCATAAGGAGGTTCGGCGAGATAAAGTGATGACATCATCCTAATTAAATCATTAATCATGGTATTTCACAATCACGGTTGTGTTTATTGAGTTGTTAGATGAAAGCTTCTGAGCTGTTTGACACGACGATGTGGAGGTTTAATTACAAAATTCACTTAGGGCGTTACTTAGTGGCTAATCCTTTATTAATAACCCCACATCAACAAAGAGCACGACCATCAACCTATCAGTGAGGTATTCTTCGTCCTTTCTCGTCTCTCTTCCTCTTTGTGTAATTACGTTTATGTTACTCAATTTCTCTTTTTTGCTAAGTAACAATAAGATGTTGATTGTTCAAATAATTATGTATTTCTACTATAAATTTTCGATTGTAAATATGTCGCGGCAAATTCTTATTCTGTTATCAAAACTAATACAGCGGTCTTAAAAAACATGAATAGGAAATTGAGATTCTTTGTTGTCATACTTTATTTGTACCTAATGAACTCTGGATAGTCACAATTGATGAGTAGGAGACGAGGGACAATTTGAGTCCAAAATTATTAGATAAGTTATAATCAATATCCATGAAGCTGCTGGGGAGCTAAGCTTATCTGAGTAATAATACTGGATTAATTGGATAATTTCACAAGCTCAACAAATTCCTCATTTCAGCACAGATATAAATACACAATGATCCTATACATACTATTACATACAAAGGACGAATATTCCTATTCCAACGGTCTTTTGATAGGTAACATAACATCAGATATTCCACTCCTAAATATCAGCAAGTGTACAGCCTTCCACCTGAATTCTGTTGTGCTGTTTCTAGTGATCACGTTAATTGAATTATCTCAACACCCCATCTCAAGATGGAGTATGTCTCCACAACTCCAAGCTTGTCTCTTAGGAACAAGAATCTTGAATGTGAAAGTGGTTTAGTTAGCAAGTCAGCTGTTTGGTCTGATGAAGGTATATAGTCAATTACCAGTTCTCCTCTCAGCACTATGTCTTGTATAAAATGAACATCAAGTTCAATATATTTAGTGCATGCATGGTAGACTGGGTTTGAGGCCAATGCCTTTGCACTTAGATTGTCACACTAGATTCTTGGAGTAGTGATCTGTGGTATTCTGAGTTCCTTCATTAAGGACTGAATCCATGAAATTTCGGATGCACCGTGAGCCAATGCTCGATACTCAGCTTCAGTGCTAGATCTAGCAACAACCTGTTGCTTCTTAGAATACCAAGATATCAAGCTATCTCCAAGATATACACAATAACCTGCGGTTGATCTTCTATCATCCGGACACGAAGCCCAGTCAGAGTCTGCATATGAGTTAATGTCTAGGCAGTCAGTTTTACGAATGGCAAGACCATGCCTCAGTGTTCCTTTCAGGTACCTGAAAACTTTCTTTAGCGCCTTCCAGTGAGCATCTGTGGGTGTTTAAAGAAATTGGCTTGATCTGTTTACAGCATAAGTAATGTCAGGTCTTGTATGAGCCAAGTATTGAAGGCCACCAATTACACTTCTATACAGTGTTGGATCTTCCATAGTTTGTCCATCAGTTTTGGAGATTAACTTTCTTGCTGCCATAGGTGTCAAACTTGGTTTGAGATGCTCATAACTGGATTTCTTGAGTAGACCAGCTGTATACTGAGTTTGAGTTAAGTATAGGCCTGATGCATCTCTATGAACTTCCATACCCAGAAACTGATTAAGTTTCCCCAAGTCTTTAAGGGCCAAACGAGTATTCAAGTTGTCAATAACCTCCTGAAGTCTCTGTTTGTTTTCCCCTGTTATAATTATATCATCCACATAAACCAATATTTATGGCACATCTCCACTTTCAACTGAGAAGAATAGCGAATTGTTTGCCTTATACTGATTGAATTTCCATTTTAGCAAAGTGTTTCTCAACTTCTCATGTTGACGCCTTGATCACAGGGCTGAATGTTTCCCCATAGTCTACTCCAGGGGTTTGAAGAAACCCCTTGGCTACTACCCTCGCCTTAGGTCTTTGCACTACACCTTCAGAGTCATATTTTAATATGAAAATCCACTTACTTCCAATTATCTTCATTCCAGGTTCAATTGGTACCAATGTCCATGTATTGTTTTTCATCAATGCATTGTACTCATCCTTCATGGCCTTCTTCCAGGTGCTACTTTGTAAGGCATCATCCACAGTTAACGGTTCAACTTCAGCTAGTTTAGCCTGTACCTGACTTGTGTAAACTTTAGGCTTGAAAATTCCATCCTTGCTCCTAATGATCATATGATGCCCAGTAATCTGCGTTTTATTATCAAAAATTGAAATTATTTCCCACATCTTCTATTCTAGGTTCACCTTGATTAATGTCAACAACTTCATGACCTGTTGGTTCATTCTGAAACATTACAGCATCATTGTTTTCTTCACTCATCTCATCCTCCACTTGTGGATCTGATTCAATACCAGGGGATTGTGCTTCACATTGTCCATCTGAATGGGTTATATCAGCTGCGTTTTGAGGTATAAGTGTGTGGCTAGACTCAGTGTTAAAAGGGAGAAGACTCAGAGGAATTTCAGTAGTTTGGGAATTTGAAGATTTGTTCAAGAAGCCAGACTTAAAAGGAAAAATTAGTTCATTAAATACCACATGTCTGGAGATATAGACCCTGCCTCTGGAGTTTAGACACTTATAACCTTTTTGTGAATCACCATAGCCAAGGAACACACATTTTTGAAAGTGAAAGTTAAGTTTGTGCCTTTGATATGGTCTGAGATAAGGATAGCAGGCACAACCGAAGGTTTTAAGTGACTTGTAGTCGAATTCTTTCCCATATAACACTTGGAAGGGTGACTGGTATTTTAGTATAGCAGTTGGTAGTCTATTTATCAGGTAGGTTGCAGACTTAAATGACTCCCACCAATAGTGTAAAGACATTTCTACTTGGGCTAAAAGGGTTAAACCTATCTCTGTACTGTGTCTGTGTTTTCTCTCCGCCTTCCCGTTTTGGCCAGAAGTATATGGGCAAGAATGCCTAAACTCAATTCCAGATTCAAGGGCAATTTTGTTGAAGTTTCTATACTCTCCTCCATAATCAGACTGCAATACCTTAATTTTCTTTTCAAACTGGTTTTCTACTAAATTTTTAAATTGGGCAAATATGTTAATTGCATCAGATTTGTGTTTCATTGGGTAAATCCATGTGTACCTACTATGATCATCAACAAAAATGATATAGTATCTAGAACTAGAGGTGGAGATTACAGGTGCAGGTCCTCAGACGTCTGAATGAACCAAATCTAATGGTTTTAATGCATGTGAGTGGGATATATTGAAGGGTAGAGCATGAGATTTTCCAAACTGACAGGATTCACAAAATTCTGGAATTTCATTAGTTTTGGTGAAATTATTATAGGACTTAAGGACTCGACTTAGTACAAGATTTGAAGGGTGACCTAATCTTCTATGCCAAACATTTAGGTCAGACTCAAGAAGCTTGGCACCTTTGATTGACTCATCATAGATAGAGTTCACTATGAAACAGGGAAAACTGTTGGAATTATTTTGATTTGACTCTTTGGCTGTGAATTTAGGTTTAGATCTTGGCAACATTAGCTGATATAAACCATCCTTAAGCACTCCCTTGAGCAGCATCCTCTTGGTTTAGAGATCCTTGACAACACAACAATCAGAGTAAAATTCCATTAATACATTGTTATCACTTGTAAGTTGAGAGACACTGCTTAAATTTTTCTTGATTGGAGGTACATGTAGCAATTTACTGAGTGCAAGGGACTAGTTATTAAGTGAAGGGATATTACCTCTTCCAACATGCGAAATTTTAAGATGGTTACCATCACCAACAAGTTGCTTATCATTACTTTCATAGTTTCTGATGTTATTCAAATTACCTCTATCAAATGTGACATGGTTACTAGCCCCAGAATCTGCGAACCATGCTTGATCCTCCAGTGTTTTTGATGAAGCTATGTATGCAGTTGGGGATGAAGTATTGCTCTGGTAGTTTGCATTACTTGGTCTGCTTCCCATGTACCTATCGTCATATCGATTGAAGCACCAGCTTGCTGTGTCATTATTGAACCCACAGATCTGGCAAGATCCTTTGTTTTCACTTGATCTACCTGCTCTACCTCTTCATCTCGTCCTTCCTCTAAAATTCATTGTCCTGCTACTGCTGATGCCTTTAAAGGTTTTGTTACCTCCTGGACCAGTTCTTTGAGTGAGATGAACACTAGACTGATTAACATTCAGTGAGGCAAAATTATTCTTGATTTGATCCATATACTTAAGTCTACTTTCAAAAGTCATCAGCACTGAGGAGAGTTCATGCCACGAGATTTTTTTCTCTGCTGTTAATCTGCACAACGATAGCCGTATACTCTTCATCTAGCCCTGACAGAACTTGAGTTACTAGATCACAGTGATCAATAGTCTTTCCAGCTACCTGCCCTGCAGATTATCTGCCAATTGTTTGATTGTACTGAGATATTGATCCATGGTCATAGAGCCTTTCCTTATCCTTTGCAACTCATCGGTAAGGAACACAACTCTTGACCTATTTAGTATGCCGTAGCTTTCCTCAACAGCAGTCCATAGTTTACTCGAGCAAGTGCACCCCATGACCCTCATTACAATTTCTGGTGTCATGGAAGAGTAGAGCCAACCCATCAACAACTGATCAGTTGACATACTCAAGGTTTTGCACCATTTCTACTGCTTCTCCTCCACTCGTAGTGGTTGGATGGTCAGGAACTCAGGTGGGCAGCTCTTAGTGCCAAGTATGTAACCTTCAAGATTATGCCCTTTGATCATAGACATGATCATGTTTTTCCATAGCAGATAATTGTTTCTGTCAAGTTTCACAGGTGGAGTTTGGGTAAGGGTTATCCCAAGTTATGTGATTTGACTCACACCAAGTTGAACCGACGGTAATGAGCTTGGAGTTGACTAATTGCTAATGTCGGCGTTGGCCATAGCTCTGATACCAAGTAATAATACTGGATTAATTGGATAATTTCACAAGCTCAACAAATTCCTCATTTTAGCACAGATATAAATACACAATGATCCTATACATACTATTACATACAAAGGACGAATATTCCTATTCCAATGGTCTTTTGACAGGTGGCATAACAGCAGATATTCCACTCCTAAATATCAGCAAGTGTACTGTCTTCCACCTGAATTCTGTTGTGCTGTTGCTAGTGATCACATAATTGAATTATCTCAACAATCTGTACTGAATAGAATCAAAGATTTGCTCTAGAATTAATTTTCCGTAACTATTTCTCTAGACACCATCAGGGCATCTAGAGACATTGGTAATAATGTAACCTTTTAGAGGTAGCTTAAGAATTTCTTATTGATTTGCGAATATAAGCTATGAATAGGTATTGATAGTGATTTGTCTGAAAATGTCAATTTTGAAATCCGAGTTTCAGGCGAATTGGATAATTTGTTTGACCTTTAGTCAAGCCCTTATAATTTGCTTAGTTATTTCATTTTTTATCGACGTGAAATTTAGCAAACGAAAAAAAATACAGATCTTCTTTTCTTAAGAAAGGAAGAGAATATGATACTGATTGAAAGAAAGAATACAATTAGCAAATCAGCCAAACAAGACACAAGTAAAAGCTATATTCTCAGCACCCATTTTGTACCACTGGTACTGCCTCTGCCACCTTCTTCCGCTTCTTAGGTGCCCCATTTTCCAATGCTCCCGAATACAAAATCTGATCCGACGACATTGAAGTCCTCTTCGATGTAACGCGGACGGGCTCTGGCTCACCGGAATTTATCCTGTGCGGAAAATTCAGCAATGCACGCGAGCCCCGAATACGATAAGCCGCCCTGTCATAGGCCAATGCAGCGTTCTCTGCTGTCTCATAAGTCCCTAACTCCCGAATACGATAAGCCGCCCTGTCATAGGCCAATGCAGCGTGCTCTGCTGTCTCATAAGTCCCTAACCATACTCGGGACCCATTTTTCGACGGGTCCCTTATCTCCGCCGCAAATTTTCCCCACGGCCGCCGCCTAACACCTCTATAATTCTTCACCCTAGGCACATCCATCGACGGCTCCACCCTCAAAACCTTCATCTCCCCCACCCTTTCTGCTGGTGCCGCCGTAGAAGTGGTGGAGATGGACGGCAGCCTCCCGACGCTTGAAACATCGTTGCCTACACCAAATAGAAACATGTCATCTGAATAATTTTCAGCGGAGAATCTTATCGGAGTTTGAGAGTCATCAAGCAAGTGTCTTTGTATTGATTCAAAAAGCTCAAGGTCAGCTTCATAATCGCCATTTTCATAGATCATTTCTCGTAATCTTACAAATATCGAAGCTTTTTAATACTTTTTCTTTAAGGATCGACAGAGACAGAGATACAGAACATTTGACAAAGGTTCATGAAATTGAATATATATATATAGTGAAATCTTTGTATTTTACGTGTAATTCAAAGCATTCGCATTTGGTCGAAGAATATGAGTTTCTGGGAAAATTCTGAAATGAGAAAACTAATAGAATGGGGTATTTTTGGTCACGTGGGTTTTAAGCCGTCGTGGTGTCTTATGACAGCAAGCCGTCATGTCTATGACTCTGATTGAAACTAACGAATTACTTGAATTGGAACGAATTTGACAATTACATTTTCTAAATGAGGAATGATAAATTTTCTTTTATTAATTGTTCTATTTAATTTAATTATGGACCCAAAAAGTGTTTGAATTTTTTTTATAACCTGTTTGGTTTTGTTAAAAATTATATTTTTAATAAATTTTGATAAAAAGTGATGAAATATCCGATTGAAAATTTGATAAAAATCGTACATGTCATAAAACGTATGATTGAAAATGAAATTTTAAAAAAATAATTTTAAGAAATGAGGTCAAACACGTACTTAATCACATAATAGAATATAGCAGTTATTTTTGAATAAAGAAATTGATTGGGTGGCAATGGCTCGGTGCCGCTCATGAACCCAGTGCCAGCCCCCATTTTTATAATGACTAGGATTGCAAAGAGTCTACTCCTAATTGATCTAGTCAGCTCGACGGGTTGGCATCTGTAGCTAGATAAAATTTAGGTTTCAAAAGTAGTAGTGTAGTTTTTATTTTTCTTTCAATGTTCTCTATGTTCTTTTTGTTTGTTATAGTATTCAAAGCAGGGATTTAACAGTCAATTTGATTTGAGTAATGCAATTCATTCCTATTGGGTTACAAATACAGTCTAGGTGGCTCACTAACGTCACCTAAAATATGTTTGTAACCTCACTGAGTATGAAAAACATTACTCATTTGATTTTTATCACTGAAAACTAATCCTATGTTCGGGGAAGATTGGTAGTAACTTTTTACGAGAAATAGTGATGGAGATTACAAAATCTGTGGATAATAATGAGCAATAATTTTGAATATATTATTGAAATTAAAATTTGAATCAATTTGACTTTAAGAGCTTGTTTGAGGGGGATTAAAATCGGATTAAAATTGAAAAATTAGCCATTATTGTTGACTTTTATTAGACGGGTGGGACCCAATAACGATTATACTTTTAATTTTAATTGGATTAAAATCCATTCCAAACAAGCTCTAAATGTATAATCGGAGTATTTTTAAATTTGCATAATTTTTTTTTTTTTAAATAGAGGAATGAATATACGACATTATAAAGTTTAAAAAATTTAGTGCTCGATTTTATAATTTAGGAACTTTTACTTTGATGAAAAAGGAAAACTTAGAAACTTATTTTGTCCTGATTTGATAGTCATTATTTTAAGAAAATGAAATTTTGAATAATATTTTTTTGAAGAATGCATTATTAAAAAGTAAGAAAAATCTTAGGTATTCGTGTAAAATATTTTATTGTATAAATATATGATTAAATATGAGTATGTAATTTAATTTTTTTGAAATAATAAATTATCAAACAGGCTTTGTTACGCATCTTAGCCTTGGGAAATTTTAAGCTGACCAAAATGGTCAAAGTATTTGACATTTTCGGTTGAAAATCTACTGTCTCAATTATTTGGTGTGCGGTCGCTGGTCGCTGCATACATGCCACACATGCGCAAACACCGCAATGTTGTTTGAGATTCGCTTCACCAAACCAAATAATTAAATAATTATTCAAGAAAATATGTAAAATAAAACATTTTTTTTAATATGTATAATTTCCCTACCTACCATTCCAAATTTAAAATTAAAATAAAGTTTTTACTATTTCCATCACATTCTTCTATTATTGACTACATTCTAGTGAAACGATATTTACAGCAGTACACTTTTACGGTTACTCCTTCCTTTATCGAACTCCACTTCACGCCATGTTGCAGAGACAACATGAATGATGGAAGGTCAGGTTGGAGTTACCTGAAAAGTGTTACATCGATAATTGTTAGAAGGAGAAATGTAGAAGCACCAAAAGTAAAATTAGGAATTTTTTTTGCATTAATCTTCCATCAATTGCTTCATTAGAGAGCTAGTCCCTAATCTCTAAAAATTCACTAGTTGATTGCATAATCAACTCTCAAAGATAGAAACCAACCGAAATTAAGCAACAAAGTAAACTTCAAAAATATGTATATGAGGATCACACGACAAGTCAATAAAATTTCGAAAAATATTAGATGCTCAACGATACTACAACGAATGTCATAACAAACTAGGAAGGTTCCTTGTAGGATGAACGGCTCGTTAGTTTGAAAGTTGCATCCAACTGGGACAGAAAAAAGTACACAACGTTAGAATGTTTTGTGCACGCTTTTCAATAAATAGATAAAAGGACTACATGACACACAAATTATAAACAAACGCAAGAGGGGCCGTCTACGTTGATTTATACTTTTAATTGTGATTAACTTGCAATTAACTAAGCTATTCAAATGTGTATTCTTTGAAAGTTGAATTCAAAAGGAGAAGATATATATTAGTCAATAAATAAATAATTTCTTTTTTCAACAATTTGAACAAAATTATATAATTTTGAAGCCGTTCTCGCGTACTATTTTGTTTGTTTATAATCTAGACAAAATCTAAAATGGTATAGATTTTGTTCGTTATGTTGACAAAACTCAAAATGTATCATACTGAAAATAATATCACACGAAATTTCAAGTTTTTTTCTTATTTTTTAACCATACATTATACAAAAAAAACATCATTATTCCAAAATACATTTTCCCTTTTTAACCATACGTTCTACAAAAATGAAAAAAAAAAATCACTATTCCAAAATACATTTTCCCCAAAGTCTATTCTTATAGCCCGTTTGGTTGAGATTAAAATCAGATTAAAATTGAAAAACTAGCCGTTATTTTTGACTTTTATTAGACGAATGAGACTCAATAACGGCTATATTTTCAATTTTAATTGGATTTTAATCGGTACCAAACGGGCCCTTAATGAAGTCCAAAAAGGGGCTATATTTTCAGTCAAAGTTTAACTTTAGTTGTAACAATACCTTTACAGTTACTATCCAAACATTTCGTGGAACTTACTCATTTTGTATTATAACTAATTTATAAGGTTACCGAAACATAGGCTATATTACAAGAATCGTTGAAACTTATAGTATGTCTGCCAAACTTAAAAGCTTAGCCGATGAGTATAGTGAAATGAGTGAGTTCTAAAATTTGGGTTAGATATTTGTTTAATCATAAATTGATCCATAGAATAAATTTATAGTAGATATGCAACAAGGAATAAGATAAACTAAGAACGTCTAACTTGTTTTAAAGTAAATAAATTTAAAAACAATCGACAAGCGAATTACATTCAGTATCGAACTCCCAAATATACGATTAAGTAAATCATTCTGATAATGTGGAAAAAAGAGTTAGTGTGGCTCCACGTCTTTAATTCAAATCACTGCCTTAAGAAAAGCGAGGCAATAATAGAATAAATGTCATACTCTACTCCACCACAAGGTATATCGAGTCAACTATTTGGCAGCATAATCAGAGAGAAACTAAAAACCCAATACGTATGGGCTTTTCAGTAGCCCAAGTTCCCTCCCTAGGTCCGTTATACTTTTGCATGCCTCACCTCAAAACCTTGTTGAGCTCTCGTTTTTGGATCTTTAAAGATTTATTTGAGCCCAAATGTTTTGGAAAATATATTTGGAAAAATTAGGCCTAATGCTCTAAAAATTGACCCAATTAGATTAATACCCTAAATTAATTAAATATCACATAAATTCCCGTATTAATTACGACCTAAACTAAAACAAATCCCCAAAACTCCCGAATCTCCCAGCCCACTGAATACAACTTTCTATTTTTTGCGTCGTCCTCAATATCTTCCAGTTTATGAACTCTGTTGCAGACAAATCTCGGGTAGATGCTCGGTGTCCCTTCTCCCTCGGTGCATGAAAGCTCAAAAATGTCAAGAAGGTAATCCCACTCCCCTTTCAAAATAATCTTGTCGAGGGGATATGCCATGTCTGGTGAAGTGGCAGCCAAATCATAGGGTGGGATATTGAGAGAATTATCTGTAGAAGTAGCAGCTTCAAGGGCCTCTTTGATTGTCTCGACTTCTTGTAATTTCAAGTCCAAATCCTGATGAACTCCTGGATCTCCTGTTTGACGCAATGCATCATGTTTCACACCTGTCTAATGTTCTTCTTCGTTGAATACACGAGTGTCAGTTTTTTTTTAATTCATTAGCCCTTTTCTCTATGGCATTGATAAGTATATTTTATATCTTATTCGGGCTCCAAAATATTGATATTTTGAAATCTTTTAATGAAATTATAACCTAATTTATTATATAATTTGTTATTAGGTGAAACTTAATGAATGGAAGTAAATTGAAAGAAATAAGCGAAAAATGGCAAGATCCAAAGCTTGAGGGCTAAAGTGAAAATATTCAAAAGCGGTGTCGAAGCTCACGATGAAGATTCGAGAATGTTAGGATCAAATTTATACAACTAAAGATCAAAAGGAGTGAAAACAATCAATTTTCAACCGCGCAAGGATGTCCAAATATTTAGTTGGAGATTGAGACCCATTTTTGTCCCATTAAACGTTCGAATAGGAAAGAAGCTATTTCCATAAAAGTTGTAGATTATTGAGTTAGCTTTTCAACGTATTTTGAATCTCTTTAATAGGATATTGAGAGAAAAAATTATGATAAAAATACCGAAGCAGATGCAAGTTGGATAACGACTCAGCGCCCAGGCGCTACAAAGTCGATTATATTTAGATTTTCAACGCCCAAGCGCTGCGCGCCTCACAGATTTTAGGTTTTTATTGTTTGGACCCCTGAAAACCCCCACAAAAAGACTCTAAATTGATCAAGAACGTGCAGAAAAGTAT